TTTTAGACTTTTATGCAGGGTTAAGCAGAAGGGATATCAATGGGGATTTTTAGCTTGTGCCTCTCTGGACCCTAACAAGCAACTTTAGCTAAAAATCGCTCAAAGGAATTTTCTCCCCTAATCCGGGATATTTGATCTGATTTGACTGGACCAAGTCACCTAGTAAAAATTTTAATAAGCGTCTTAAATTTCAAAATGGAAACCTTTAGTACTCCCGTTTCTATGTCTTCACTATTAAAAAACAGATATTATTATTTATCGCTACTTTTTTCCTGAAGTTTTTAAGAGTGTTATTGATTTCCGAAAATAATTTAATTCGTTATTTCAAGCCAAGCAGCTGTGACTTACTGTGAATTTAAGTGAATGTTATTATATTAAGAAACAGACTGTGGTTATTGATAATCTGGTTCCTCTCTAACTGCCTCAGAAGCAGCGATTTGTTTTGTTTTTTCCCGTTTCTCTATTATTTTCTGAGCTTATTCTGAATACTTTCGGAGGTTTTTTCCCAAATCTAGCTCAATGCTAATATGCAATTCCTTCACATGTATTATTGAATTTGTAGGTATTATTGAGTATCTAACAAAGTTGCAAACCTCTGTTGCATTTGTTTTAAAGGACCCCGCACACCTCTTATGGGAAAGCTGCACCATGACCGATTGCCTTCTGACTTATGTATTTCGATTCTCCTCAAGATGCTGATCAAAAATTATAATTGCGCTAACTTTCTACCATGCACCGTTTTCGCAAAATATTAAAGAGAAGATTCAATTATTTGGCGACTATGAATAAAAAAGAACAAAGCATTTGAGAACAGGCCCGATGTAAATAAGAAAAAAGCGTAGCGCGTGTCCATCTTCTTATCTGTACCTGCCGACTCTGGGGCTATCTCCTTCCCGCTCTCGTCCGGTTGACGTTCCGTCTTTCCTGTTCTTATGCTCCTCAAGAATCTGATTTGGATGGTCGAGCAAAACGGCGTATGGAATCCGAGATTAGACTGCCGCTCGGTGCGGGAGTCCCCATGATTTCTTTGTTGACACAGAGCCGCTTGTCAATCAAGCACTGAAATGAGGAATCTTTCTGGCTTTTTATCACCGAATAATTGAATCTCCTCTTTCATTTTTTGCGAAAACGGTGCATCGTAGAAAGTTGGCGCAATTATAACTTTTGATCATCATGTTGAGGAGAATCGAAATACATAAGTCAGAAGGCAATCGGTCATGGTGCAGCTTCCCATAAGAGGTGTGCGGGGTCCTTTACGGATCTACGCTCTAACAGTCGATTTTTGTTTGCATTTAAGTAAATGAATTTTTGAAACTCTTCCAAGTTTTGTTTAGATTTTATGTTTTGCTATTACGATGCCAAATGGTGTTATTAGTTACCTCCATGAGCATGGAACAGCATACATGTTGCAACAAAAATAATCATGATCACTAAATCAAGAAGGGGTCATAGTCTGCGAACTGTTGAATATACAGAATAGTTTTGCGACAGTACCAGGGCCAGATTTATGTTTTTGGCGCGCTAAGCAGAAATTTTCGAGTCGCCCCCCTCGCACGTCCCCCCCCGCCCGCGCATTTCCCAACCCGACGGTCTTCTTTGGTTACTACGTGCTAACTCTAACAGAATACAAATTTTTCGAGTGAGTGAATGATTCTGGGGCAGAAACCAAAACCAGGTACCTGTTCCTGTTACTGTTAACTACGAAACTAGGAGAGAGTTTGACCCTTGAAGTCTAGGGTCAGGTCATTTAAAAGATGGAACACAATAAATTAATGGTTCTCTGATGTAATTTTGCAAGAAAATTCTGATGGGACAAAAATAGGCATTTCATATGCATGCACAGGCACTTATGGAGTAATAACACGCAATATTTACATTGTTAATGTTGTTTCGCTGTTCTTGTCTGTGTCTCCATTGCCTTTATACAATCAATCAACAATCAGAGTTTCTGAACTTTCGACTCAATTCTCAATTTTTTCAGAGTTTGGAAAAAAAAAAACCCAAAATTTGGCGCCCCTCAAAATCTGGCGCCCTGTGCAGCTGCACCGATGCACCATAGGTAAATCCGGCCCTGGACAGTACATCGATCGACTTCTTGTTCCCCATAAGATTAAATTCCTCTCAAGCTTGGAGTGGATGAGGTAAGCTGTTAGTTTTCTCTAATTTTGTGAAATTATAGTGTTGTACAATTTTCATGCAAATGTTGCAATTATTTTTTCCCTTTTATCGGTTCTTTTATAAGATTTCTTAAGATTTCAGATAACTTCACTTCCCCAGTTCAAAGCCAGTTGGCAAGTACTGATTGTGAGTGTTACTTCAATTGTTTGTTCTATTGCGCATTAAAAAATTGAAAACCTTAAATTGTTTCTTTATTTTACTTTCAGCCACAAACCAGGAATTATTATGTTTTGTAATAACTTTTTCTCCTTTCTTGAGTTAGACTCTTTCAAACAAAACTAGAGATGGAGGTTCATTCTAGTGCATTTAACATGTGAAACAAATTTTCTGAACCTAGAAATTGAGTGCGCCTTGAGTGAAGGAATCAAGAAGCAGTTTCATAACTTTGATTAACTTCCAAGTTGGAATATTGCATGGTGCTTTGTAACAAAGAGAGACTGAGGTCTTGAATACATAGCTCAAAAATTGATACTTAGTCCTTGAATAAATTTATGTTAATTCTTTTAACAGCAGAGGTCATCAAGGTCTGTGTTTCACTTGTATTCTTTGATGGCTCATTCTTTCAAAAGAAGTCACTGTGCTCCTCAATGTGTCAGCAATTCAGCATCTCACACTTAAAGTAATTATTGGTACCTCATTGCAAACTGCTGAGAAATACTCTCTTTGCACACAGTTTCACGACGCTCTCCATATTACCTCTCCTAATTTCCTAAGAAATATCCCTGAAATATCTAGGAGCGTTTTAAAATCCTGACCTTCGAATCAGTTATACCTTAGGCATTTTGTTATTGCCTCAACAGATCTACCCATTAATACCCTCCGAGTAACTGAATCTCCTACTAAAGATAAAATGTCTACAAAAGACATTTTCCTAAAAATAAAATTTAAAATCTTGGTATCTTTTACTTTACTCCTCGAGAGCCTCCTGCATTCTTTGGGTGCTCTCAAGGAAGAAGGAGGAGGGCATCTTGCCATTTTTTATTGAATTTAAATGCCGTGAATCAATGGCGTTCTGTAGGGTTGAAAAATTTAAGGAATAGAAGAGGCTTGAAAAAGGATACCCTCTTTTTCTTTGCTCTCCTAGATGAATCAGTAAACCTAGGGCTATGAGAGATTCAGAAGAAGCGTTCCAAAATCATGTTTCTGACAAATTCGCTCTAAAAATATTCACTTGAATTTGATTTTTTGCTTCTTTAAGAAAATGAGGGGCTTTAAAACCCTATTCTCCATTCTTAGTCTTGGGACACCATTAGTTGGAGCCTTGTTGCCCTCCCCTCACCCCTCCACCAGTCCTAGAAGCTGTCCTAGAAGTGTGCCAACGTACCCATAGTCGGACAATATAAAAATGAGTATCTACATCTAAAAAAAAAAATGGATAAAACCGTTGTTGTTGGCATTCAGAGGCCTTCTTCTGACAGTTCTAAGTTATAATGGTGAATTCCGAACGAATTTACTTTAATTTTTCATAAATTTCATTAATTGTGGAATTTTCAGAGATATTTCGTGTTTCTAAATTTCATGAAATATTGCCACCCTGTTGATAGTGCCATATAAAAACTCATCTTCCAAACAGTCCCCATTTCTAATCTCCTTTGAATTTTCTTTAGCTAATCTCCTTCGAAAAATCCAAATGAAAAAAAAGAGTGTTCAAAGATGAAAGAGCGGAAAGATAGTTTACAGATTGGTGGATGGTACGAGGGGCGTTCAATAAGTAAGTATCCCCCCTCTCTAAAATCAATAGGAATGAACCAATTTCTAAAAACTTGGGCTCAAAATCTTCCTTAGGATATACTGAGTTCAACCAAACAAACCGCAACAAAATCGGACCATGAGCGGCCGAACGCGAGCCGTTTGAACGCGCCGAGGTGCACGCCGCTCCCGCCGAATCCGCGGAGATTTGAAGTCCGCGACAAGAGAAGAGCTTCTCCGCCAACATTTCAGTCGTTCATCACTGACAAAAAATCAAAGAAGTTTTTGTAAAATAGGGGGCTTACCTCACCTCTCCACATAACCAGCTCGATCCAAGCAGGTCTGATACTGATTGTGAGACTAAGAGAACAGCTTTTGGATACCACGCGTGCAAAAGTCTTTCAACTGGCTGAGGATGAAAGTGTTGACGGCTTGTTTGACCTCTTCCACTGATTCAAAATGAACTCCCCAGAGTTCAGATTTTAGATACGGTAATAAATGGCAACACAGACCACCATTTATTCCCTTTTCTGAAATCTGAACTCTGGGGAGTTCATTTTGAATCAGTGGAAGAGGTCAAACAAGCCGTCAACACTTTCATCCCCAGCCAGTTGAAAGACTTCTGCACGCGTGGTATCCAAAAGCTGTTCTCTTAGTCTCACAATCAGTATCAGACCTGCTTGGATCGAGCTGGTTATGTGGAGAGGTGAGGTAAGCCCCCTATTTTACAAAAACTTCTTTGATTTTTTGTCAATGATGAACGACTGAAATGTTGGCGGAGAAGCTCTTCTCTTGTCGCGGACTTCAAATCTCCGCGGATTCGGCGGGAGCGGCGTGCACCTCGGCGCGTTCAAACGGCTCGCGTTCGGCCGCACATGGTCCGATTTTGTTGCGGTTTGTTTGGTTGAACTCAGTATATCCTGAGGAAGATTTTGAGCCCAAGTTTTTAAAAATTGGTTCATTCCTATTGATTTTAGAGAGGGGGGATACTTACTTATTGAACGCCCCTCGTACTTTTTAAGAGAACTTATCAGCTGTGGTCTTGTACGACGAAATTGACAATCTCATAATTCATGAGAGCACATGTCGTGGATGTATTTAGAACCAGGAAGAAAGAATGGTTCAGTGCTCACCTTGTAGCTGTGCTGTTACTTTTCGTTGAGTTCTGAACAGGGACATGAATTTTTCGTTCACCATTCTGTCTCTGAATGACCTCCATCAAACTGTAACTTGGGAGCCATGAGGTGTCTCTTGATGCTGTTGCGACGACATTTCTTTTGGGCTCTGCGTCATAGGATACAGACTCGACACCAAAATGTTCACAGTATTCGTGAACAAACTGCCTCTTGGCTCTATTCATAACCTCGAAAGAGAAACTCCTACTTTTCTGCTTTGACTGAAATGAACCAGAGTTAAATTTCAAATGGATGCATGCATACTTAAAAATTCAACAATACAAAACATGGAACCTAATTTACATCCTCGTGTTGGCCTGTTAGCATACAAATTCATTTTTTCCTTCTTTAATTGCAACCCCCTCCTTGTAATATGTCGTTTGAAATAGGAGGATCAAAGACAATTTTGGATGCACATTTAAGGTTGCAGCTACCTCTATATTTTCATAATGGCGCGGCCAAAAGAGGAAGAAAACTTTGCAAAGGCTACTTTTCGAAGGATTTATTTGAAACTCAGTGGCCAGAGGATTTTGGAGGGACAAAAAAGAATTTAGTATAAGTTTTTTAGAATATTCTATTTTCTTTAAGATGGCAAAACACAGGCATTTTGGATGTAAACCGATGGATTTGCAACAAATTCAAGATCCAAGGGTTAATGGGAGCGAAAAATTAAGCCTGAATCTATTTTTTAAAATTATCTTAATAATAGCACTTGAGATAAGGGATGTACTTATACAATCATTTCCCCGCACGTTAAACTATGCGGGTGGATTTCAGCTAATGGGATAACATATGGGAAAGACGTGTAACTGGTCGCTTAAAACTTTCAATTATAATATTTTCTCTCGATGTTTGGTTTGTTGCGTAGAAGCAAGTCACACCAACCCGAAAAAAATTCCTCAAGAGATTTGAATAACTTTCAACCTTTTTTTCAACGTGTGAAACGGTGAAAATGTCAGGTTGGTGATGCGTAACTCAGAGGTAGTCAATTTATCAAATTGTTATATAAATAAACCAGGACCTTTGGCGAGCTTTGTCTAATTTTTTTTTAAGTCTTGAATGTATGTTGTTTAATATACTATGCATTAAAACGCCAGAAAACTATATTATTCAATTTAATTTGAGGCTTGAAGCGTGTAACTCAATATTATGTCAGTTTGGTGACACTATGCGTTTCAGTTTGTGGCCACTCAAGAGATAGCGCTTGTATGCGGATTAAGGCATGACTGTGTGCGGAAGTGGAGAATGAACAAACATGTACTTGATAAGTCCAGATCCAATTTCAGCATGATTTCAGTTGTTTCCATGGTTTTTGGAGTGTCTCACTTATTCAATATCAGTTTGGTGTTGCTGTTTTCCATCAAAACTTTTGGTGGAATATGTGAGCTAATATTTTTTTCTTACATCTACAGGTGGCCTCTTGACCTAACCTCAATGATTCGTTTGATTTTGTTATTGTAAATTGACAGGAAAAATTAATAACAGCAAAATGTCAGTTTGGTGACATCACCAAACCTGACTCACCGTCTCCTAACTGACATGTCAGCAGCCTGATTATTGAAATTTGTTGTTTATCAGGACGACATAGATGACATCGGTTAAAAGGCGGAACGTGATTGGACAGCTATGTCTTATCGCTGCTTTGTCGTGCCTATTGTAAGGGGGGGGGGGGAGCGAAAAAAATGTCCGGGACTGTGAAGTTGACTCGGACACGCGGACACTGCCAGCGGGCGTGGATTTAAGCGGGGACGCGATTTTTGGTTGGGTCGGTTTGACTATACCAGATTTGGGTGGGAGGATCTTAACGCAGCCAGAAAGTGATATGCTTCAGAAAGTCAAGTTGGGGGAAAAGAGTTTAGAGGAGCGAGTTAAGGAAAGTGTAGCGAGAGTGAGTAGTCACGCTGAGCTAAACGAAGTGTTGGGTCAAATTACAGCGCAATGGGAGCAGAGTTCGTGGGTGCCGACGGAGTGGCATTTGCATGGGTTGACAGTTTCCGTGGGTATACTTTTGATTGTCATTCTTGCACTCGGTCTCTGGATGCGGGCAAAAACGAAACCAAGGGTTTACTGAAAAAATCCCGATGCCCCCGGCGGTTTCTGCACCTCACGAGTTCTTCTGTAAATTTTTTCTCGATGGAAATGCTATGCCATTTTAAACAAGTATTTTTTTACTTAGAAAAACGCATGAGGAATGTTTCCTATTTTTTCTATGCTCATGCGCAACACTGTCATTTTCTTTTGTTATCATCTTTTGGCCACAGAAAAAATGGTGGTGGAGGCCCGGATGTCCCTCGTAACGAAGCTTTGTAGTAAAGTACCTAATGTTTCTTTAAGTTCCGTGATATTTATATTTTTATCAAATTGTTATATTTTTTTTGTTAGTTTCTAATCCGGTGTAATTTTGAGTTTAAGGTCCTTCCGTTCCGTAGAATTATATGGGTGAACCAGGCATTCACTCGATGCAAGACTTTTCGAGTCAAGTGTATACCGAGGATTGGTGCCTCAATCCCAACTGGTTCTTCACCTGGTCGGATTGAAAAGCTCGATTCAATCCCTGGTGCTATCGGGCAGACTAACAGAGTCCCTGGTCAGGGATACGACAGAAGAAAAGATATCATGACGGAGCGGTCGTCGGGGACCTTTCTCAATGCAGGGTTACTCTGAAGCTGGTCGAGGGGTCACGGATTGTGAGCTGCAATGCAAAGGCTTGGCGAGGAGGTGCAGTTTTTTTCGTCGGCTACATCAAGGAACTAAGATGTGAGGGCAATTCTCGTGACAACTCAACTCTCGGGCAACAAGGGACCAGTGCAGGAGCACAGCGAATCGGATGGGGAACTACCGTTTTGGCTTGATCATCGACCTTTCCATTGGCACAAGATGCATCTGCAGTATACGTCGGATTTTTATTAGATATTAATTATGTATTTATTCTGTATTTACATGTATATCGTTCCAGCGTCTCTTTCTTTGTTTTTTTTAAGGGGCCATTTAAAGCAGGGGGAATGAAACGGGGCCGTACATCTCATGTACGGACCCATTTTGGTCGAACTCTGGTTTCGCGCGTAGAGTTGCGACCTCTGTTTCGGCACGTTCTTGCTCAGCTTGTTTTGGGTAGCGGCGCGAGGCGAGCTTTCTCGGGGCCGAATATTGGGCCCGATATCCGGTCTTGGCCATGGGTCGCCTCGTCCGCTGCTATAAAACAGCTGATCAATCGACGTACCGGGGTCTAACGTTTATTTAAAGAGGCCCGCAGCCCTACGCGTGAGTAGAAGGAGTTTTGAAGTAGAGTTTTTGAAGTAGAAGTTTAAAGTGTGTTTTGTTATACTGTCTGTTATACCTGTGAATAATATATTTCTACCCGAAAAATACCCTGCTAATCGGCGTTGTTCCTCAGCTCTACCTACCCAGCCACCAGAGCTCCCCCCCCCCCTTACACCTATGTCGGGTTGAACTCACAACAAGCTATCGGCACCTCTTAAGTTTCCGACAGTATGTCATCCATTCCACCTGACAAAGGCACAACAAAGCAGTGATGAGACATAGCCAACCAATCACGCTCCGCCTTTTAACCTATGTCATCTATGTCTTCCCGACAAACAAAAAATTTCAACAACCAGGCAGGCTTGGTAAAGAAAAATAATCCTAAAGATATTGCAATGCGCATAATTAAATCCTATCGTATGGAGCTCTAAGGTAACAAAAAAGTGGTCTTCAGCTTGATATGGCCAAATTACTTATTAACTTTTTTTCAGAACCATTTTCTCCCATTAGCTGAAATCCACCCATACCTACGCATTGTGAGTTCCTCAATAGCACATGCTGTGTTGATACTTTCCCACTCCATCTTATTTCTGTTCATTATCAATTGCAATCTTTCTTTTTGATCGTTTACTCTCTCTCTCTCTCCCCCCCTCTTTCGCAAATCAAACATCAAGCTCATCCTGTAGCTTCTGGAAGTAGCCTCCCATGTCCCTTGTTACCAATAGGCAAAAGCTCGTACCAATTCTTCATTGCTTTATTCTGCAATCCTCCTTGTTTGCCGCACAGGGCTGTGCGAGAGCCAAGACTTAACGGGCCATAAAATAGTTTAAAAAATTGCACGACCTCGAATTATTAAATGGTCCACAAACCCAATTTTTCAGACGGCATTGATAGTTCACTCTGGACGGAGGGCATGGATTTGATTTATGTCGATCGAATAATCAGGGCATGGATGTGCTGGTGCGCACGTATCCTTGGAGTCTTCCCTCTCACACAGCCCGGCGCGGCAGCATAAGAGGATTGCAGAATGAAGCAGTAAAGAAAAGGGACAAGGTGTGGCCTGTTGGTGACAGCGGACATGGGAGGCGACTTCCAGAAGCTACAGGATAAGCTAGGTGTTGGATTTGCAAAAGAGAGAGAGAGAGAGAGAGAGAGAGAGAGAGAGAGAGAGAGAGAGAGGGAGAGAAAGACAGAGAGAGAAGCAAAGCACAAATAGAGAGAGACAGAGTAAACGAACAAAAAGAAAGATTACAATTGGCAAAGAATGGTAATAAGGAGGAGGGGGAAAGCATCAATGCAGCTGCGTTTGAAGAACGCATAATACATATAGATTAATGTGCAGGAAAAACGATTTTAAAAGCGCCTTACTTGTCACAAATCGACGGTGTAAGTCGGCAATCACATGATTCGGTTTGCGACGTCGCATATTTCCTGTCATACTGTATTTTTTAAACGGAAAACTACTCAACGGCAATTCTTTAAAACTGCCGTGATTTTTCATCTCTGTGCGAAGAAAATTCTGCAAAAACTTCAAGGAATGATGTCAATTTGTTCTCCTTTAAAAAAATAACATAGAGGCGGAGAGTTTCAGACACCGCAAACGAGATATGTGATTGCCGACATACACCGTCGAAATGTTGATAAAAGTATAAAAGAATGAGTCAGTTAAGCTCGGGAGGGATTTGCCTGCAAATAGTCGAGTCTTACAGTTTTCGGTACGAGAGGAACGATGCGCACGTTAAAATTTCAAGAAAAATTGTCTCCGCGGAGATAGAACGCTTCCTTTTTAGGGGTCCTCGAAAATATGTTGGAACCGACCGCCTTGAATCTTCGAATCTACGCGTTGTAGACGGGAAGATGGCAGCGCCGAAGCCGACCTGCTTACCACCACCACGCTGCCGTTGTTGACATCACGATTTCTCGTTTGAGGTTAAGTACGTTCTGTGTGAATGAATCATATCCTACATAAATCTGTATCCCATTCTGATTGAGAAGCTTAGAGAATTAAGATGAATCTTCAGCTATAGTTCCGAAATAATCCACCACGTCGCGCTGCTAAAATCCAACTTTGAAATCAGTGATTATTTAAATATCACAATAGATATTTTAAATTTTAAGACTCATAAGTTCTAGCAGCATACGTCTGGAATCCTTAGAAACAAACGCGAGCTTTGAAAGTTTATTAATAAACGCTATAACTTGATCCCAATTTCTCTTACGGGATATCTGTAAGTGCGAGATAGAAAGCTCACGGTGGGAGAGAGATATCTGTAACTACTGAGGGCGATCAATCGCGATTGGTTGCATCAAGGTCATCATGCTTAACCCTACTTTTTTCTGGGATCAAGTTTCAGAGCTTCAGAAATTACTTTTCACGTCGTTTTTAGTGTCAATAGGAAGAAGAATGTTATGGCTAGAACTTATGACTCCTCGATTTAAACAGAAATTCCTTTAACTTTCATAAAAGCTCAAGGACTCACTTGGAGCTGTACGGACTCTAATAGCGTGGACCAAAAAATCAATAGGTACACAGCTGTGGCGCCCTATGCGCAGAGAAATTTCTTACTTCACGGAGCTGTAGATAACCTTAAGAACAATGGGTATGAATCTCAAACAAAGTAACCTACATAACCTCCAATTGACTAACAAAAACACACCGCCAACGCGACACCGCCGTGTATTCTTCCACTACCTACGCATTCCGCCGCCATATTGATCGTGACGTGTACATTCGAAACCTACGAGCGCGCGGTTCAAACGCCGTTTTAGGCCACCCTAATTTTTGGCACTTTCAAATTAACTTTCCTCCCGTTTGCAGTCATCAAAAAAAATTAGGAAAAAAACTGTAAGCTTCTGTCACTTACTACTTTCGAATGACACAATAAAAAAAAAAAAAATGACTTAACTGACTCATTGTCAGTGATGCCAAAGAGAAATAGCAAGTTCAGCACTTTCACAAAGAACTATCATGCATTAGTCCTAACTTTTTCCAAATTACAAACACCTACTACAGCATAGAAATGCACAAATTGCACAGTGAGCTATCAACAATTTTGGCAGCATTCCGGCAATTTACTCATGTTTTTAATATTTTTCTTTTTTTAAATTCCCTTCTTTTCTATTTTTTCAAGTTTCCCTGATTTGTTAACATTATTCCTATGCCGAAGCAAAAATTGCAACAAACTCTGACAGGAAGAGAAAAGGCTGGACTGGCAGCATGAGACAAGGTCTAAACTTGCATTTCCAATGTTTTCATACTGGAGAGCCTAAGATGGTTTTTCCAAGGGATTCACTTGTACATCGCGGTCGCGTCGCAGTATATCTTTCAATTATTTCCGTATGTTACTTCTAACAAGTCAAAAATTTCTTGAGCTTTTTTCCTTGCACTTGAATTAGATGTTAATGTGCTGGTTGCACTGAAACCATGATTACATAGATTTCGACCGTAGATGACAACTGCACTTAGAAGCATTTTATCATGCAACTAGCTTATCAACTACATACAGGGTGATCCAGACCACCCGTCCACTATCTCTTTCTCGAAAACGGCGGAGAATTGAGCTTCGGGACAAAAAACTTTCAGAGGGTAAATCGACTTACGGCCCTCTAAAGCCCCAAAATTTTTGGGGGGTCGTGGCTCCCAAAATTTTGGAGCAACAGGGGTCATGTGGCACATCAATAAAAAGGTATTGACCTCTCCTCTCAGGATATTTTTAGATTTTGAAATTTGGATGATTTGGCCGCTTACAGCGTCGAATTGAAAATTGCCCCAAAAATGCCCCATAATTCTAAAAAATGGGGGTTTAGGGGAAAAAAGGCAAAGAACAAAATGTTCTTATTTTTTACCCGAGATTCCGAATCCAAAGTCAAAACATACCCTTCCCATTTAAAAATTGCGAGAAACGGGGGGCTCCCCCCCCCCAAAACCCCCTCAAGAGGCCATTTTGGGGGGCTGAAAATATTTTTATTCGATTCTTTGGGATCGATTTACCCTCTGAAAGTTTTAGTCCTGAAGCTCAACTCTCCGCCGTTTTCGAGAAAAAGATAGAGGACGGGTGGTCTGGATCACCCTGTATATCAGTGACAATGCTTCGAGGAGGCTCATAAGCCCCCTGGCTAGTTAACTACAGCAATTTAGTAGAATGAATTGATTTATTTCTTTCATGCAGAAGCTACCAGGAAAAAAATACCTGTTTGGCTAAATGAACTAGGTCAACCAATTTCTCATGGACACATTGACAGAACAGAATATCTCTCTTGGCCCACTGCATCATAAAGTCCGAATAGCGCGGGACTAGTTTGGCACTTAGATCAGGATTCCGAATTTGAAGCCCCAAAGCAAGCTTTCGATTTCTTTCTAAGAGCTCACATTCACCATTGCACTCCAGCCTGTAAAATTTCGGCAAAATAGGGTACTTAATTTATTTATTTATTTTCTTTGGTACAGAGGAGTAAGCTCTCGAGGGTAGAGCTAATGTACAAGTCAGGCTTAAACAGTGGATACATACAGGGTGTCCCAAAAGTCTCTTCCACCCCCTCTAAAATTTTATCTAATTAATATTTTGAAACGAAACTTTGGGGATGTTCATCCATCAATGTTCACTACTTTTGGGGCCCCCTCGTGGGGAGGGGCTGCGGACCCCAAATTTTTTTTCAAATAGCAACCCCCCCTTTGTGACACATCAATAGAAAGAAAATAAAAAAAAGAACATTTTTGGCGCAAACCGCTTTTCAAAATCTTAATTTTCACAAAATGGCAGCCGGTAAAAGTTCAAAATAATGGAAATTTGACTTCTCCGTTTTTTCGACGGATTGGGACGAAAACTGGTATCCGACGGTTTTTTGGCACGAGGAAAACGATTCTGGTGGCATCAGTTTTCCGGACATCCTGTCCTTCTCAAAATGGCTGTTGTCAAAATAGCGACCTGGAGCGGTAAGGGAATATTTAGGCTGTTTATTGGTGGATTTACATGGAACTTTAAATTAGGAGGTATTTTGGCATGAGAAAATCGAATCTTTCATTGGATTTTTGAAATTCTGAATAACTTCAAAATGGCGGAAACTTGGAATTATAGACATTTAGGGTTGGATTCGCATCAAACTCGGGGTTTTGTTGGTTTCTGATTCAACAAGAATGACTCTCTTGCTTTAAATTTTTGAAATGTTGCACACTTTCAAGATGGCGGCCAAGTTTCATGCGAATCCATCCCTAAACGTCTGTAATTCCAAGTTTCCGCCATTTTGAAGTTATTCAGGATTTCAAAAATCCAATGAAAGAATCGTTTTTCTCATGCCAAAAAACCCCCCAATGCAAAGTTCCATGCAAATCCACCGATTAACAGCCTAAATATTCCCTTACCGCTCCAGGTTGCCATTTTGACCGCCGCCATTTGGAGAAGGACGGGATGTCCGGAAAACTAATGCCGCTAGAATCGTTTTCCTCGTCCCAAAAAAACCTTCGGATACCAGTTTTCGTCCCAATCCGTCAAAAAAAACAGAGATGTCAAATTTCCATTATTTTGAACTTTGACCGGCCGCCATTTTGTCAAAAATTAAGATTTTGAAAAGCGGTTTGCGCCAAAAATGTTCTTTTTTTTATTTTCTTTCGATTGATGTGTCACAAAAGGGGGGGTTGCAATTTGAAAAAAAAAGTTGGGGTCCGCAGCCCCTCCCCACGTGGGACCCCGAAAATTTTGGGGGCCCCAAAAGTAGCTAAAATTGATCGATGAACATTCCCAAAGTTTCGTTTGAAAATAATAAATAGGTTAAATTTTAGAGGGGGTGGAAGGGACTTTTGGGACACCCTGTATATACATGTACATAATACAAAGGGCTTTAACAAGCTTGATAACAAGGAATAGCGAGAACAAATTTAGAAACAAAGGGGTACGAAGAACCTTAGGTACAAAGAAATTCATTAATATCATAACAGGCATTGGTCGACATTAGCCTTTTTATTGGACTAAGAAAAGCTTGAGCATTGTTTGAACGGAGGGAGTTCTTGATGAATAAAGGGAGTGAATTGAAAAGTTGCATAGATGAGTAAGTTACATAGGCCTTGGTTTAAACAAGAGAAGTAGGAATGTTGCGGAATGATTGGTGACAGGTATTAAATCTTGGGGTCAGATCTGTAGGTGATAAGATTCCATTATTGACAGCATACTTTAAACATACAAAAATGTACAGAGAGGGGAGAGTAAATGAGTTGTTGCTAATAAACAGATCTCGACAATGGTAATCAATTGGCTTATTAAATAGGATTTTTAGTATTTCTTTCTGCTCTGAAAATACCGATCAGCTCTGGAGCATTTTTCCCAAAGCAGTAGGCCGTATCTAGGTAAGGAAACAATGTTGGAATGATAGAAAATCAGGGCTGTGCTATGGGAAACGGCAGGTACACAATTTCTGAAGGCCCATTTTTGTCTTTGTATTCTCTCTCAAAGATAATCAATACAGTCTGACCGACGAAGTTTACTATGAATGTTTAAACCTGAAAACACTGATGTAAAAAGAAAATACACTTAAAAACACTAATATAAAAAGAAAATACACTTAAAAATACTGATATAAAAAGAAGTACCATACATGACATAGTCCGCTCAAAAAGTTCACAAAGTCATCCATAGTGGGTCAACAAACATGAGTATGTATCAGTTAGAATGGGTCAGATAAGCTCCATAAACAGCGAATAATCTTCATACCTAATATGGTTAAGTCTACTCCGGCCAGTGGAAGTGTCCACCGTGGGGTAGCTGAAATTGTGATGTGTGTGTTGTGAAGAAGAAAAAGATAAAATTAAGGCAGATGATGATTATTATTATTATTATTGTACTTTTCTCACAAAAATACATCGTTTGTGGAAATAAACTCATTGAAAGACGGACCCTAGCCAAGTCTTTCAAAGCTAGAGCCTTTTAAAATTGCTAAAATTTGAGGGTTCATAAACATTTTTAAAAAAGGTGTTAAAATCGTAAAAAGTTGTTAAAAATCTAAACAGGATTGTTAAATCTACATAAACTACTATGTTAGCAGTCGGTCACATAATTAAAAATAATAAGACAGTCACTGCCCTGAGCTTAGGAAAGATCTAGTGATATTACAAGTGTGCAGGATCACGGTTTTCTGGTTATTATTATTTTATTTTATTTTATTTTTTTTTTTTTTTTTTTTTTTTTTTTTTTTGTAACTTGGAAGAGGGAACATTTCCGGTACAAGTATTACTGACGGGCCACAGGCCAAAGTCAGTAACACATACTATATTGCTTGAATAAAAAGTAAATGTTATTTTAAAGTAAAATTAAAACATTTAAAAAAAAAAAATTAAATTTTAAGTGAAATCAAAAAATTACTCTACATTAAGGAACGACCTGACAATACTTGACGTGCTTATGACGACGGACTTCTGCATTGAATGAAGCAGGTAACTATCTATTCCAAGGTCTCGAGGATGTTGAACTAAACTTTTTGGAACTATCCCCGTTACTGACATTATGAGAAGCTTGATGCAAACAATGTTCAGGTTCCATAATCGCTTCATTTCTGCAGCTAATGGCAGATATTTTACCATCTTTTCTTGATACTTCAGCTTCAAGTTATGATCATTAGGGATGCTAATATCAATGATGTAAGCAATGCGATCTCGCTTATCAACAAGCACTATGTCCGGCCTGTTTGCCATGATGGTCTTATCGGTTAAGATCGGGTTATCCCAATAGAGCCGGAAGCGCTGATTCTCCAGGACTACTGTGGCTGGGCAATATTTGTAGTAGGGTTCAGCAGTATCACATAGTTTTCGATCCTTAGCCAGCGCTAGATGTATAATTTTAGCCATGTTGTTATGCCGCTCGGTATATTCCTTCCCTGCAAGCAATGCGCAACCAGATGTGATGTGATCTATTGTCTCGGATGCAGCGTTACACTTCCTACACTTATCGCTCTCGATCTCCTCCTTCAGTATATACTTCTTGTAATTGCTGGTACTGATCACTTGGTCTTGTATTGTGAGAACAAATCCTTCTGTTTCTGGATACAGCTGCCCTTTCGATAACCACAAGAAAGACTTTCCTTCACTAACATGACCCTGCGCAACTGAATGATAAAAGCATCCATGCAGCGGCTTGGAGGCCCATGCTTCTAACTGGCCAGCAACTGGGTCTGAGGGTTGTTCTTCATCCAGATCGTGACAAGCGAGGCGCAAAGGCGTGTAGGATTTGTCTATGGCATTTACTGCAGCGTGCAAAGGGCTGTCGTTTCTACTGAGGAAGTAATTTCGCAAATTACGGACTTGGCTGTGGCAGACCTCCTTCACATCATGGATACCTCTTCCTCCCTGCTTGCGGGGGATGTGTATTCTCTCCTTCGCGGCTCTTGGGTGATGCTTATTCCACTTTGTCATCAAGGTTCTGACTTTCCTATTAAGCCCCTCAAGCTCCGTGTTAGACCACGGGACAACGCCAAATGAGTAGGCTAACGCAGGAATGGCGAAGGTGTTGATTGCCTTGGTTGTATGTTACGAGTTTAGAGAGGTCTTAAGTATCGCACTCAGCCGGTCAACGAAGGTGTTAACCAGGTGCTCTTTGACTCTCACCTTCTGGATGGGAGAATTCTGCCACATTCCAAGGTATTTATAAGCATCTTCCATTGTCAAGCTGTTGATGACGTCACCAGAATTGATCACAAAACCATCCTCCCGCACTATGACGCCGTTTTCTATATGGAGCGTCGCGCATTCAGGTACTCCAGGCATCATGCAAATATCATCACTGACCTCTTCAATCACCTTGAAAAGTTGATGCAACTGGTCTCTTTGGGATGCATAGATCTTAATATCATCCAAGTAGGCTGGGTGGTTGATGACGTGGAGTACTTGTCTGTTCCGACGTAGAGGGAACCCTACCTTCTTCTCTCGAATGCAATTTGAGAGGGGATTGAGGCCTAAACAGAACCACAATGCACTAAGACTGTCACCTTGAAAAATACCTCGCAGGATGTGGATGACCTCAGTTTCCAATTCACTCACCGATCCTTGAATTATGATTCTGGTGCGCCAAGATGCCAAAACGCTCTTCAGGAAATGAACAATAACAGGATGGACTCGGTAGATATTTAAAACGTGAATTAGCCAGCGGTGCGGCATTGAATCAAAAGCTTTTTTGTAGTCGATGTAACCTACATGTAAGTTACAACGTTCCTTTACAGCCTGCTTGAGCACAACCGAATCAATTATTAACAGCTCTTTGCACCCGAAGCTTCCCTTGCGACACCCTTTCTGCTCTTCACACAAAATTTTCCACTTAGCTACATGTCTCCCAATTAATCGGGTTACAATGGATGTGATGACTTTATAGAGCATGGAGAGACATGTAATCGGTCTATACTCAGATGGGTCCTTCGAATCCCCTCCTTTGGGTTTTGCAAACATCACTCCTTCAGTCAGAAATAATGGCATTTTGTCAGGATGAGTAATAATATCTTGAATGGTTCTTGAAAGCTGCGTATGCACACATGTTAACTTTTTCAGCCAGAAATTGTGAACATTGTCTGGTCCGGGAGCCTTCCAGTTATGAATATGCAAAGTTGCCCTCCAAACATCTTCCTTAGTGATTTCAACCTCACCTTCATGTGTAATGTGGGCATAACGCACTGTAACGCACAAAAGGATCCCCAACTATTTCCAGCTCCTCTTCTGTCTGGGATGGAGTAATTAAAGAAAGGACTCTGGACATTAGCCGTTTTTGGATTATACATAAAAATCGCCCAGTTTTGGAGCCGTTTGATTTTTCAAAATTCATTCTAAAGATATTAAAGCGGTAGATTATCATTCAAATAAATTTAAAAAAATTAAATTATGGACAATTGCGGTACTTAAATTAAGTTTCATCACGAAACTACCAGCAATAAACTGGACATTAGTGGTTTTTGCATGATTTGTGCATGGACGGTTCTAAAACATCAAAAACACATATGTTTAAGTATGCCTTCCGGGCAACATAAGGAAATCCTGATGTATTTTGAGGCGTTGAATCCGAATAGGACCCCCGTTTCTTTCCATCACCCACCAATTTCCCCGAAAAGCCGATTTCACTCGAAAAAAATGGCCATTTTTGGTATTTTTCTGACTGTTATTCCCTGCAGAATGTAGGTAAAATTTTTCGCAGCTACGAGATTCAATTCTGCAAATGTCTTTTTAACTGATGAGTCTGGAAACGACCTTCATTTTTCCTGTTCACCTTTCAGTTTTCCGGAAAAGCATCTTTTTATCGGGAAAATGAGCAAATTCGACGTATATTTGTCGTGCATGCAATTTATTTTTATTAATTTTCCTGGACCCGTAGTAGTATGTTACTTATGTATTTTGAGCTGCTAAATCCGAATATGACCTCGGTTTCATTCTATCATACTTCAGATTTCTGGTAAAGCCAATTTTTCCGAGCTTAAAATTGTGTAGCGCAAAAGCTTTGCCGAAACTCAAATTGTAGTCAAAATTCATTTTAAAAATGTCTCCGATGTGTGATACATCGATTCCTTTGTATTGTGAACTGTTGAATTCAAATATGATCTCAGATGTTTCCGATCACCCATCATTTATCCGGAAAAGTCGCTTTTCCTAGGAAAACGCTCTTTCCAGGTATTTTTACGATGATTTTCCTGCTCTGAGGAGTTTCAGAAATTTTCTGAGATCATTCTCTTTTGGTCTCTCTTGCTGTATTGAGAGACACTGAATTCGAATTAGACCTTATTTTGGTGTGTTTTACAGTGTTATGAGGCATATAACGAAAGATGGACATTAGCAGTTTTCGCATAATTCGGATCACGCCCCCCCCCCCCCCCCCCTGAAAAGGGGTTCAAACCTAAGGAACAAACATGTTGGACCTCCGAGAGTATTTTATCCTAAAAATCTCAAAATTGAAAGAAATGGGCATTAGCAGTTTACGCACGAGCTGATTCAATTAACTCATCATTTTAGCATGTTAAGTCCTATATAAAGTTATCAATTTTTGGTTCCAAACGGGTGTTCCTTTTTTGACTGAGTGGTGGTCATTTCTCTGACATTTGTCTTGCAAGCAGTATCCTTTTATTTGAAGCAGCTTTTTCATGTCTCTTAATCGAAGAGTCACATTGAGTGAACATACTCTCACTGAGGGTTTCCTTCCTATTCTGGTCGCTTGAGGTAGATAAGTCATTTCTGGGAGATGTCGAAGCTGCATATCTTTTCTTTTTTCCCCCTAAACGTTAGTTAGTGTGATACTCTTAGTTATTTTTGACAGAGTATTTGATGGCCATTGGCGGATCTGTGATATTGACAGCTTGAAACTCGTCGTAGGTAAAACATTGCCAATAGGTAGTTGATTATAAAGTCAATAGTCTGAGTTTGTCGTTGGATTGGGCTGAATAACTATTTTGGAGGTCTGTACAACAACAGTTTAACAGCTGGGGTTTGGTGAGAAAACAACGCCACCTGGTGTTTTCAACAGAGGCGTTTGTTTACCAACACACGGCAGGTGATAAACGGATCCGACATACGGAAGCAAATGTAATCAAATTCTTTGGATACATAGCGTTCCTTCAAGAATTGCAGGCCCAAGGCAATTTAAGTTTTTCAGTGCCCAAGATTCACAATAATACTCGGGTAAAGACAGAAATGTATGCTCTCACAATTGTTCCGCACACGGTCTCTAGGTTGATACGGAAACTAACATTTCACACTGTAATTCAGAAGTTTGATGGGAGGGATTAACAACATGTCTCATTGCATCTGCCGCTGTACAGGAAAAAAATTATTTTTTACATGAAAGTATACAATCTAGAGTGAAGATAAATATATAAAAAGAGAAACGCACTTCTTTATAGTTAATGTTTTAGCATCAACTCCATAAGTTAAATTGCTTAATTCCATGGCCACTCCACCAAAGTGCAAGTTTGATGATTTTCGGACAGCCTCTGCGGATATGATTTTCTCGTACTCAGCATTGTTTTCAAAACAAGCTACAGAAGAGGTCCGATGGCCACACTGACAACTGACTTTAACCTGAAACAAGAAAGTTGAAGATAACTTGGGAATATTTCCTTAGCTGAACTTTCAACTTCGGGATGAAAAAGTTTAAAGTTATAACTAAAGAGAGTAAACCTTTATTATTAAAAAATACATACATTGGTTTTTGTAAGTTTCCTTTTCTCTATTATTTTCAATATTTTAGTCAAGGAATGATGCTAGTAAGCGCTGAAATTACCTTCTCCTCGAATTTTTTGGAAATCTTCCTTTTATGACAGCAGGGGGTCTAAACTGAATGAAAATACATATTTGGTTTTGAAGAGTCATACAGGGTGTCCAATAGTCCATCCCCCCTCTCATCTTTTAAATTTTTTCCTGATTCGGGATTTTGAGCACTATTTTACCACCTTCTCGCATACAGTTCCTGACACTAAAATGACCGGAAATGATACAGCACTAAAAACACAGCCTGGGAAAAAAGGCTAAAATTTGAAGAAAAATTCGAGATGTTTCGTCAGAATTCTCGGGTTTTTTCGATAGAGAAAAGAAACGGAGGAAGACAAGGTTAAAATACAAGAGTAAAGAGGCACTGTCTGGTGATTACATTAAACAAAATAGGTAAACAGACTTTTTATCCCTGTTTCTAATGAAGTACATGATTTCCAATTTTCTGGCATAATTGTTGGGTTCACTGTCGAAAACTTTGGTGTTAGCACAACCAGTGTTATTCTTATGCTGATGAAGTGTCCTGACCTCCTATTTATCATCCTTATGGCCGCCCATTAAGTCTTTTGGACAGTTGTTGTTTCGTCCAGCCAATGTCTATAGAATCACAATTCAAGCAATCAATTTGATAAACGACACAAGAGAGACCTTCGGTTTGTCTTATAGATTTTAAGGGGGAGCGAGGAACGAAAAATCATTGTAGCTGGTGTTTACTACTGTAAAATTAAATTCCGAAAGCATAGATGAGATGTTCTCAGAGAGGAGCAGTGCGTATGGTAAACTTATGACTTGATGTCTTGAAGGCTGGTTTATTGGAAGCAGTAAGGCCAGCATCAGCTAAACTTAAGGATCTAAAGAGTCTCGCCAAAAAGTGGTGTTTTTTAGCCCCTTTTTGGGACCCGAGTTGGTCAACCGGACAAGACTTAAATGAAAGCTTATGGTAATAGTCCAGTCAATCTACGATTTTACCTTGAAAATTTTGCGAAAAACTTTCTGTCATATACTGCCTATCCCAAGTAGCAGTGATCGCGATAAATTGCGATTTAATTGGAGAATGTATCGCGATTTTATCGACGTCGCGATTTATTGCAATATTATCGGGAGAAAAATCGCGATAAATTGCAACAAAATCGCGATATTATCGAACGCGATTTTATAGAGATAAAATTGCAATAAACTGCAATTTTTCATTAACGCATGAATGACGCATATGAAAGATGTTTCTATTCCGCCGCCGCCGTTTTTACCGAGATCCGTTGGTAGGTAACCTAACCATCTCATTTTTTTTTATCAATTATTAGTATAATGTTACAAAGACAGACTGGTAAGCTTACCTGAAAACCGGTATTTTTACTGATTTTTTCAGGTAAGAATACCACTTTTATTGGTAATCAATCCCCGGTAACTTTACCATTTTATCTCGGTAATTCTACCACAGTCGATAAAAACTATTGGCGTTTTTCTCAAGGTCCATCGGTAACTTTGCCATCTCACTATTATTGGTAATTTTACAGAGACAGAATGATGAGATTACCAATAGAACCTTATTTTACCAACCGTATTTCAAGGTATGAAATAAAATACAGAGGAGGGAAAATTAAAAAAAAAAAAATCCAATGAAAAATCGGTGTCAGTCAACGCAAAGACATAAGTTGTGAGGTTGCGAAGCGCCGATCCATGTATAAGAGGCTTCAATTCGCACACGCAAGTCATGTAGCGGTCATAGCATAGTGACACTGTGCTGGCCTTCCACCGTAGCGATTGGGGTTCGAATCCCCGCGGAGGCTCCGGGGATTTTACGCTCGTCTTCGTCAAAGGACCTGACGGCTGAACCTAACGGCAATCGGCTGACAACTTTAACTCCTTTTTTTTGGCGATTTTATCAATCGCTAGGATCATCAACATCTGAGCGATCATCCTCGATCTTATCGCGATAAAATCGCAATTTTTTCGGGCCGATAAAATTGCAATAAAATCGCGAAAAGATCGAGGATAATCGCTCAAATGTTGATGATCCTAGCGATTTTATCGCCGATAAAATCGAGGATAATCGCGACTTTATCGGCGATAAAATCGCGATTTTTCCGTTGAAAAATGCTACTTGGGATGTGTTTTTTAGCGCTGAATCCGAATCTGAACTTTGCTACCTTCGATTTTTGCCGCTAAAGCCGCCATCTCGAAAAAACGTTGGCAAATCTCATTTTTTGTCAAAAAATCTCAATAACTCGTTCCCTGTGCGTCGGACGGCAAAATGAGTTATTAGCAAAGTGAAAGTATGTAAAATTTCGGTGAAGAAACATGTATGAAAGTTTTGCTATTATGCGCATACTATCCGCCAGAGCGTGCTGAAAATAGCGGGAAATTTGAAAAAAAATCGCAATTTTTTGCGGTTTTCTCTAATATCTTTTTTCTTAGCGGTTTTTCGGCAAGAAAGGCTACCACAGAAATTAAAGTAGACAAAAAATGCTACTAGAATCACTCTTATTTTTTGAACTAGGGATTGTTTCAACAGAAGTTAGGAGCGCTTTAAGTCGGAGACTCACACGGCCGAAATCGGCTGCAACGGTGCATCGCAGTTCTTCCTTATGAGGGCCGTTATATGGTTTCCATAACGTTTAATTTTGCTTTAAGACATTGAATCTAGTTTATAAGCAAAGAAATTACAGATTTCACCCTTTTTGACATCCCTCCCCCCAACGCCCACCCTCCCCCTTCCCCAATCAGATGTCGGCGTAACATCAAGTTCACTCCATTATTATCCAGAAAAACGCTATTTTGCAGTTTTAGTAGTCCTCATCCACGATGAAAACGGTGGCAAAGTTGGAGGTCATTTCTACTGCTGTTGACAAAATAAGTTTATCAGTGTCTTCTGTTGTCAAATCATCAATGAGCCCCACGCAAATAGCAATCATATGAGGAAGAACCCCTATTTCGAGTCGCTTTGCCATCGAAGCAGTGGCAAATATTCAACGAAATAACATACTGCTCAACGCATGCGTTTACTTTGCCAACTCTTCATCCTTCTCCTTATGTTATGTGAGGAAGAGAAGAGGTCAAAGGTGATATTCTGTTATTTTAAAACTACTAAAACTGCAAAATAGCGTTTTTCTGGATAATAATGGAGTGAACATGATGTTACGCCGATATCTGATTGGGGAGGGGGGAGGAGTGGGCGTTGGGGGGAGGGATGTCAAAAAGGGTGAAATCTGTAATTTCTTTGCTTATAAACTAGATTCAATGTCTTAAAGCAAAATTAAACGTTATGGAAACCATATAACGGCCCTCATAAGGAAGAACTGCGATGCACCGTTGCAGCCGATTTCGGCCGTGTGAGTCTCCGACTTCAAGCGCTCCTAACTTCTGTTGAAACAATCCCTAGTTCAAAAAATAAGAGTGATTCTAGTGGCATTTTTTGTCTACTTTAATTTCTGTGGTAGCCTTTCTTGCCGAAAAACCGCTAAGAAAAAAGATATTAGAGAAAACCGCAAAAAATTGCGATTTTTTTTCAAATTTCCCGCTATTTTCAGCACGCTCTGGCGGATAGTATGCGCATAATAGCAAAACTTTCATACATGTTTCTTCACCGAAATTTTACATACTTTCACTTTGCTAATAACTCATTTTGCCGTCCGACGCACAGGGAACGAGTTATTGAGATTTTTTGACAAAAAATGAGATTTGCCAACGTTTTTTCGAGATGGCGGCTTTAGCGGCAAAAATCGAAGGTAGCAAAGTTCAGATTCGGATTCAGCGCTAAAAAACACATAGGAAACAAATGACAGAAACTTTTTCGCAAAATTTGCAAGGTAGGGCCCTTTTTTGGTCTTGATTGACTGGACGATAAGGCAAACTCCACAGGCAAAGTTTCAGCTTGAAAAGAGCCCCCAATTAGGCTTTACAGCCTTGCCAATGTTTCATATTTATGTGCTAAAATGTAGGAATTCTGGACTATAAGTGCTGTGAACAGACTAGTACACCCAAGTTGGTCGATGGGAGAAGGCTCAAATGAAAGCTTATGGTAGGGCAAACTTGCAAGCAAAGTTTCAACTTGAAAAGAACCCCTTTTCGGCTGTACAGCATTGCCAATTTTTCATTTTTATTTGCTAAAATGAAGGAATTCTGGACTATTAGTCGAGTGCATTATAATCAGAGACAAGAGACCCTCCACTGTCCTCCTAGCGACAGGTGGAAGATTTTACTTTCGGGGATTCAGCAGTTCCTTATGGACAATTATTAGGGAGCATCAGTCGTCACCCTAATTTCGGGTGTTGACCTACCTACATGGTCGATGATGAGCTCCGGATGACGTCATGAGCCAAACAAGTTTCACAAACTTCGGCCATTTTCGACTTGTTTGCAAAACGAAACTGCCAACACGTTGTTAAACATCAACCATGTAGGTGAGTCAACAGTAGAATGCTGAAGTCCCAGAAGTAAAAGCTTCCACAATAGCCGAGATACGAGTGGAGGGTCTCTTGTCTCTGATTATAATTAAACAGACTTTTACATCGGTCTACAGGCTAAATACTACCCTGAAATCGCATAGGAGCGCAATTAAAGGCCATCATGAACTTTTCGAAGCAGTGTTGCCAATTTTTTTAAAATTTTGTTGAGACTTTTGACGGAAAACCTTTACCCTAATGGGCTATAACTTTGACGAGTACAGGCAAATTGAATATTTGGTATGAACGACAACTAAATGCTATGGTATGAGGCTCTCTCGCCTCCCAGAATAGTAAAAACCACTGGAACCGCTTTTTGCTTTTCAAAAATGGAGATGAAAAATATCTTCATTTTATCCTAAAAATGTC